CATCTTAAAATGTAGACCTTAATATTTGAAAAAACGGTAGCACGGTAGAGTCATGGACTAGTGGGATAAGTATAAATGATACTTGGCAATAATTAAAATCACCATCATAAAAAACGCTTCGATGCAAATCTGTAGATAATCTTTAATTTTAAGATATTGGTTGATTATTCTAGAAGCAAAATTAACTCCTGTTTCTATCATAATTCCTAATTAGTAATTCAATGATTTTTAAGTATAATTTATGAATAAATATCTATTAAAGCAATTCAACGTAGTATGAAATTGATACTTAATAATTTAGTATTGTAATTTGTACGGAGAAATTATAAAGTAGATACTTTTATGGCAAACATGTATAAAATTTGAAGGGTTTGATGTAACACTTTTCAAAAAAAAATTGTTTGTTACTTATTGGCCTACAAGGAATTTTTATTAGAGACTAAAATATACTTTTCTAAACCCATTTTCGCGCCTATTAAAAATCTGCAATTAGAGTTTCGCATATAGACTAAATAATAACAAAATCCTACTAATATAAAAAACACGTAACAAGTAGAAGGTATAGGAGACTGGTGCAGATTTGAATGAAAATTACATTTTGATTTTTAATTTTTTTTTTTTTGCATTTAATTTGAAATATAATGGTCCTGTTAAATTCTCATAATATTTTAACATCACACTGTAACTGTTTAAAATCTATATCATTGAATAATAGTTTATTATAAAATGTTAAACATAAGTTACTTTTTATTCAAATGTGCCCCATGGTAGGGCTACATTTTAATTAATGCGGGGCACATTTGGATGAGTCTTTATATTAAAAAGTTAACACACATAAAATATCCAATAAGTAAAAGTATATTATTTTAATACATTTTCTTAGTAGGTACTTATATAATATAAAACATAACAGTTTCTCTAGAAAAATTAAAATTAGGTTGTTACCTACCTACTTGTTAACAGAAAATTAACAAAGTAAATTAACAAGTCTTTAATTTCTTATAGATAAATAACAAAATATAAAACAACAGTTTTTCTTGAAAAATTAAAAGTAGATAGTTACTTACGTACCTACTTGAAAATATTAAAAATAACCACATCTCAATATCTGCTTTTGTTACATTGTCTGTATCTTGTATATGAGGATATATAAATGTGTCACCCAGAATTCTTTTTAAATAAGAAATTTCATAACGGTTTTGGTCAACATCATCAACGCATCTATTATGTGCAGTATATCAATGCGAGTAATTAATTAAACACCAAGAGTTGCATAGAAATTCTTAGTAAGACTTATATTTAAATGATTTATTACAATGAAACATTTTCTGATCACATATCAATCTAAAAAATAGGATATTTTATTTCACATAAAATTTTCTTTTTAATGATATAAATTCTAAACTTACAAGTTAAGCTAAAATTGTGTTTAAAAGTTCGACATTTTTAAATTATAAACTTTTATAAATATCAACTTTAAAGAATAAGTTAAAAATGTCATTTTGAATTGAAATTTTGCACAGATTATTTTCAACGTATTAGAAATCAATAATAACTTGATAAAAAAATGTTTTTTCATGTGTTTCTAATTAGTAATAATCTCAAAAAAGAGTTGATAGAAAAAATCTAATTTCTGATTTGAAATCGGCGTAAAAATTTGGTTTAATAAAATATATATTGGTCTATGATCATAAACAAATTTATGATTTTACTGTGTAGTTCAGTATAAAAACGAATTTTATACTTCTATTAATTTGGAGATATTTAATTTAAAAAGGTTTTTTTAAAGTAGCCATTTTTTACACTAGCGTAATTTTGAGATATTTGTCTGAATTTTTAAAATTAATGCTTATAAAATAAAAAATAATCTAAGTAAGAAATTGGATGGTCAGTAACAACTTTTGAACCAGTACTTTGAATTTATTAACATTTTTATCAATAGGCGAGAGGAGAGTTGTGACCAAGATATTGATTAATGATAAACATTATTATACCCGTACCTCACCTCCAGTCTACATATAATATACATATATACGTATATTTTAAAATGGTAATAAATTCCGAAATAGTAGATCAAAATTTTCATCATCAAATAAATATTTTAATTATATTATTTTTTATATTATAAGGTAGTTCAATATTTATGTCACTATTTAAAAATACTCCTCAGCATCGAAGCTAAAATTAAGTTGAAACTCGTATAAGGCTTAAAGATTTCTTATTTAGGAATGAATTAAAAAGCTAACTAATAAATGATAAATCGAAAAATATATAAATCTAAAAAATAATTTTTTTAACTTAAATATTATTTTAAGAGAAATCGAGTGGCTAGAGTTTAAAAAATCATTCCTTTACAAAAAAAAATTCACAGTTTTCATTAACAATCTAAAATATTTATTGCTAGTATAGTCTGTATGGGATAGATTTAGAAGAAAAAATAAGTTTAAATTTGATATGTTTAATAAAATAATTTAAGAAAATATTCTTGAAGAAGAAAACATTTCTACTGACGAGAAAGATAACATTTTGGAAAGTTTACTTGACTTTTATTTCAACGGAACAGACATTATTTCTATATCATTAGTCCGCAAATTATTAGAAATGAAATGATATGAAAATAACTGACTAACAATTAAATGACTTCTTGTTTAGTAGAGGAGCTAACGAAAATGGCTGCATAGACTTCAAAAGTAATTATTAGATTACGGTATGATTAACATTTTTTTTAAATTAATTAACTGTTGGACTTGATAAATAAATTCAAAATAAAATTATTTAAATTTGATAGTTGGCAATTTTATACTATATTATTAGATTCAATAAAAATAATTTCCTCTGCTTTTCATTTTTTTGTGTTTTTGTCATTATATTAAAAATCTTTATTCGATGAATGTAATTATATGCATAACTTATTTTATTTGGCACGTGCTGTTTCTTTAAGTCTTCTAAAATATTGATTTTAGTTTTATTTTTTTTAAATATTTATTAATAAATAATTTGAAAAAGTAAAAATTGATTTTGTTTCAGGTTTTATGAATAGAATGAAACTCATTTTTGTAAATTACGAGTACTAAAGGAATTACTAAAAATATCAATGTTGTAAAGAACTATAGTACATATTTAATATATATGAATATATGTTATTTTATAAATAATTAATATTTGTTTAAAATTATACTCCTGAATATATCTCATTTAGATTTTCTTTAACGTTCCATTAAATTATTAATGTAAAAGTGACTGATAAATGTTGAAGGAAGAAGAGGTAAAGGAAGACCAAAAAAGAGATGGAAGGATGTTATTGAATGTGATATGAGAACAGCTGATGTAAGTGTAGATAATGTTGGGGGGGGAGATCGTTTCGAGTGGAAATTTAGGATAAGGGTGGCCGACTACAAGTAGCTGTGATTAAGGCGAGGAAAAAGAAGAAGATAAGTGTATAATGGTTTTAAATTATCATAATCACTTCTTTTAATGTCAGGTTTTTGAATTGTGATTACTGTAGAGCTGTACCATGAAAAACTAGTTAGATAGATAAAAAATACTGTGTTTAAATTTGTTATGAACCAGTCAATCATTTTATTAATTTATATTCTAATAACAAGGAAAGGTTGGGTTATTTTAAAAATACATAAAAGTATGCAAAAAATTGTAAAAAAAGTTAATTTTTTTAATATTCAAAGTACTGGGCACCTCAGCTCTATTTTTAATTTTTAAGCATATATATTGAATTTTGTGATATATAAATAAAACATTTTTTTTTTCGCAATACTGGTATATTATTTTTTAAGTGTAGTTGATACAAATAACTAAAATGTTTGTACAACAGAATAATAGTATACTTCGCCATTGTTGCATAAAATTTAACATTTGTCAAAAATGGTTGTAATTATTAGGGAAACTCCATTCACAATTGTGATAATTTCACATGTTTATAGATGGTTTTATTCTATAAGATAGGGTAGTTCCCCTTTAAAGGTGTAGATTTGAGATAATGAAAAAAACCCCACCCCCAAAATTTTTTTTTATATCATTATTTTATCAATTAGATACTTAAAAAAGTGACACTCAATTACTTATTTGTAGAGAATTTTATAAAGAAGAAGAAAAATATATACATGTTTTTACTAACGCATATAATTACATATAGCCAACTTTTAAAAATCATTTTTTTCATTAAGCACTTTTAGAGTTAGATGTACTGACACCTCATTTTATAGTGCAACAAATAATAAAATAAAAATAATATAAAATGTTCAGTGTATACTTTTTTTTAAAAATGATACCCCCCATTTTATTGGAATAATGATTTTTTCATAAAAATGAACAGTTTAAAATTGTATTTATTTTGATAATCCATTATATATTAAGTTTTTTGTAAGAGAAAATTATATCTAACGGTAGAATTTATGGGTAAAATTAACGTGTATATTAAAAATATTATACTGACGTTTGGGAATTTTTAGATTATTTCTTACAGTGAAATTAATCTAAAAAGTCGCCTAGTCTAAATTATTTGAAATAAATATTTAACTATAAAATTATTATCATTTAACACTACGTTTTTAAAATATTGTTTAACTTCTATACAAGTATTTTTTTTTACTCAAAATTTGTGATTATAAAATTTTCTGTTTCGTTTCCTTTAGTTAAAAAATTATTTGTTTATATAATATTATTACAAAATTTAAATATTTCATAGTTGAAATTACTAGTATCAATAAAAATCGATTTATCATTTAAATTTATTATCGTTAAGACATTAAAAATGATTTATAAACGTGTGATTAAACTTACAATTTTTTTTTTGTTGTGACGTATTTTACAGTTGCTAAACACACATATCTATATTATTAATTGAAATAATTTTAGAANAAACACACATATCTATATTACTAATTGAAATAATTTTAGAACTATAAAAAAATTTTCTATAGACATTTTGTGATGTGATTGAGCTATTAAATTTAATTACAGCATATTTGGTTGTAATTAATAGATTAATAAGAGTATGTTTTCCATAGTTATGATAAAGATATATTAGATACTTCTAAAATATATTAGGATATAGAAACAGAGTTCAACAACATACTCCTCCGTGCAAAGACGGGTCTCAATAATTTT